GAGATGCGTGGGGACAGGGATGGGCTGGGCGAGGGGTGGAATGGACAGGCGGCTTTGGGCTCTCTCCGCCAGACCCGCCAGCCAGGGAAGCAGTGCTGCTGTCGCCTCGCCTCCCTGTCCACGGATGGGTGGGCACTATCATTGCCTTGGGTAGCCTCTCCCAGTGGCCCCTTCGGGTTCGGGCTTTGAGGGACTTGGGAAGGAAGCCAAGCTCAGGTCGGCCTGGCTTTTTCAGTTGGCAGGTGGGTGCGCACCCAGCCTGCACGGCTCTGGCGGGATGAGCAGAGGGTCTGGCGGGGAGGCGCTCACTGCCTTGGCGAGAGCTCCACCGCCGGGCCAGAGGGCCCGCCTGTCAGCTGCGCTGGGCCTCCCAGGCGAAGCTCTTGGCACTCTGCCTGGCGCCAGGCAGGGATGGCGCTTCTTCCGGGGTGGGCCGATCCTGCGCTGCGGCCCCGGGAGATTCGCCTCCCCACGTGGGGTTGGGCTGCCCTCTCGGGCAGGGGAGTCTTTGTTGTACCGGTTATAGGGCGTCGTTTTTAAAACAATTGGCTTTGCCTTCGAAGGCAAAGGGAAGGCAGCGACAGGAGCGCCTGGAGCAGAGTGTCTCTGCCGGGCTCCGGTTGCAGGGAGGAGCCCTGGCTGCAGCGTTGCTTTAAGGAGAAGGGAAAGCAACGGCGGAAGGTCTCCCGATACGAAGTGCCCCACCAACACCGAGGTCAACGCAGGCAGCACCATATCCGGGTATGCAACAAAAGTACTTCCTAATGGCCCCACCATTCCCCCCCTCCATTTTGCATGTTTAATATAGGCCTTAATTTGGGGGTAGGTGCTTAATTTGATTTTATGCCTATAAAGCATGCTGGGACTTCCTATTGGAGGAGGCCGTATTGTTGGAGAAACACGGTAGGGTTCGTCCCATAGTGTATGATGATATAATAATGCATGTTCAAGTGTTCAATGTTCATTAGGACATTCCTTTACACTATTCCTGAAAGTTAGTATCATCACTCCCATAATGCAGATGGGGAGATATATGTAAAACTATACAGTAAATTAAGAGAGAAATTAGATACCAACTAGAAGCTTTTTAATGTATATGTACTGGACCTACACTATAACATAATATAATGGACTTACTTTGCTTTTGATCCAATGCTACTGTAGAACACTAATATCAACTAAAGATAAGGTTGGGTAAAGATACAGGCTTAATTATATGCAGCCCATAATTAAACATATAATTACAGAAATGTACTCTTAGCATGAGTAAAAATCTTGAAATCTCGGATGTGTTGTAGCAAAAATCACCACAACTGTTAAACAGAAGCCACAACAGCATTTTACACAACAGTTCCACAAGCAGGTGGGACAATTAGAATACAGACCAAGGTGTCACATTGCACTATTTTGTGTACTCACTGAAGACTAATTTGGTGCACATGCATTGTAAAGAGAAGTGAGGTTTTATTATATTGTAAGTTTAGCAATTCTATGAGTTAAAGAATGAAGCATCAGTTAACTAATTTACTGTCTTGTAAAGAACTAGAATAGTACAGACTTTAAGAAGAAGGTATCAGGCATTGGTGTTCTGAACTCAACCGCGTGATGAGTACCACTGCCGCTGTATTTGGTAATTTTTGTGCACATGTGCTATTAATGTTAAAAAATTAAGTTACCTTAGATCTCCGTTCTCTGTTTGACTTTCCCTAGAGTGCCAACAAATAAAAAGTGACAACTGCTATCATAAAAGACAAAATAAACATCAGAAGAAAATTCTATGTAGAATATGTTCATGTTTGGGGCATTTCCCCTCAAAGCTTATATCTGAGTTTGTTACACACAGGAATGTAAACAAAGAATTTGTCCTTGTAGTTATTGTAAGAATGATGGGAGCTCTTTTTAAATGTTAAAAAATAAAAATGAACCAAGGAAATGCATCCTTTCTTTGTATTCACTGTCCAGCAGCCCCTTCCTATCCTTTCCTTTTCCAGTAATGTTTTCAATTAAATGTATGTTTGGTACCTACACGCGAGAACTTTGAATGGATATAAAGAAAAAAGAGAAAGTAAATTAAATGCGATATTTATTCAGTCATTTCGAGCCCCACATAACATAAATTAGATGAGTATGCATCTGCTATAATACATTATATTACAAATTAATATGTATGATCAAAAATTAATAAGAAGCTCCAAACAACCCACTTCACAATAAATAAAACCATTATTCCCTTAGGTCATACTATTTTCTTTTGCTGTTTTACATGGCTTCTTCTACAATATAATTTTTACTTTGATCTGTGTCTGGAAGACTTCAGATGATTTCAGAACATTTGTCTTAAGTAGAACATGAGCTGTATAACGCAACTATTGCTAAGACCCATAAACTAACATAAAAAACCCTCTTCTTCCATTACCTCTTTGAAAACATTTACATTCAGCCATTAAATATATCCAACACAAGAAACAAACATTGATTTTACTGAATCGAACCAGAGCCGTATCGGAAGTACACAATGACGCTTAAATAGTTTATTACGTATGTTTTCCAACGCAGGCATTACTGTAACTTTCTCTGTATCTTAGCACATAGCACCTTTTTTCAAATAAGAGCCAGGTTCCCTGCCAGAAAAGGCACCCTACTTTTTTCAAGTCAGTATGAATTTTCTATGCCACCTGTTATCTGCATGGTGGTTTTTACAGAGATGCTGGCTTTGTAGAAGCAGAAACAGGTTCATCTCATTCTTAATACACGAATAGGGAAATTTTTTTAAAGAGAAAAAAAATGATAGATAAAAGGCTAGACTTTCTCAAAGCTGGGCTGGTTTGTTTGTCATTTCTTTCTTTGCAAAAGCATTTGGAAGAAAAGGACTCATTCAAATTTTAGGACTTGGCGAATCATTGGACGTTAAGGACACGGGCTGAAACGCCATGGTGCCAGTCACGTAATTTTGTGTATCTAGGGCCTATGATGTGGAGGGGGATCTTTTCCCTGCAGAGAAGAAGTAACAGAAGAAGACAGGTAAGAGGAAGGAAGTCTGCATATCTAAATCCATTCTACACAACAAACCAAAAGCATGCGGAATTCAGAATCAGAATTAGTTTACACTAATTGTCCTTGCACTTCAGTACAAACCTGTCGACGTTGATGAGTAAACCAATTTCTATTGCTTCTTGTTGTGAATTGACACTTTAAATAAGCAGACAATGTCTGCTGACTTTCAAACACCAGAATAGAAGCTGCTATTCCTTCCATTATTAATAAACTTAAGAGTTATGCAAGATAAGTTGGGTAAAATTAATGAGGTTAGTTTATCCTGATGCAGAACCCAACTTCTTACTGAAAAAAAATGTGAGTACTATTACTGATACTACGAATAAACATTGGTGCTAGAACAATTGTGTATAATTGCAGTTAAAAATGCAGAAGCAAAATACTACACAGTCCACACATCTCAAGCACTTACGATAGAATAGAATAGAATAACAGAGTTGGAAGGGGCCTTGGAGGTCTTCTAGTCCAACCCCCTGCCTAGGCAGGAAACTCTACACCAGCTCAGACAAATGGTTATCCAACATCTTTTTTAAAAACTTCCAGTGTTGGAGCATTCACAACTTCTGGAGGCAAGTTGTTCCACTGACTAATTGTTCTAACTGTCAAAAAATTTCTCCTTAGTTCTAGGTTGCTTCTCCCCTTGATTAATTTCCACCCATTGCTTCTTGTTCTGCCCTCAGGTGCTTTGGAGAACAGCTTGACTCCCTCTTCTTTGGGGCAGCCCCTGAGATATTGGAATACTACTATCATATCTGACAGAATTATCTTACAGAAGTGCTCAAATACCAGCTAGCAATAATTGAAGAAACTTTGATTGACAGCACTTTCATAGAATATAGGTTTATAATTCTGTAAAGCACTCAAGACTGAAATGCCTTTTAATCAAGACAAAAACTGCCTCTTTCCATATGATCCTACATTTTCTCTGTGGTCATCTTCAGAGGGTCTGCTGCAGATGAAACCACATGTTGTGGTGTGATACACAGCTACCTAGCAATAGCAAAAACGCTCTACCCAGAAAGGATACTTAGCACCCTATTTGTTTATCTTTCTGGAAGCAGACAAAACATTTATATTTTACATATTTATATTTTGTGTTTCTCTGAAGCTTTGCGATTCTGCTATGATGCATATATTGTTCATTTAATTATTGTTTTGGTTTGAACTTTTTTATAGTGTGATCAGTGGAAAACTTGGTAATGATGAGCAGACTATAGTTTTTAATAATAAAATTTTCTAAAGGAAAATAACGAAATAAGGCTACAGACTCTTCTGCTTTTAAATACTTACATGCTGTAGTGAGTAGGATTATTCCCAGCTCAAGACAGATAAAAGACACAATAAAATATCAAATATTCACAAGCTAAAGGAATCAGGATGTTAGGAATTGCAGTAGCCTCATTCACCGGTAATATCACTTTTTAATAAAGATGCACTAGCATTTCAATTCTTGTTAGTTTTGTCATAAAAACTTATTTTAAAATTGGAATTTGGCCTATATGTCAGTAGTAAAACATATAATTTTAAATCTGATTAATATAACAAAAATATCAAACTTCTAAAACATCTCAAAAAGATTAAACAATTACCTCTAAACTTCTGATTACTATTTATATTTTTTTAAAATATATATATATATCTTTTTCACATTTCTTTTCCACTGCTGACACCATTACATTTTTATGTAATTATTATTATTAACTTTAGATGTCTGTATAAAGTATTCAATTTTATGCATATTCATTAAAAAAATAATGTTAAATGGGAAATTCTAGGCCTATCCCAATTTATTTAAAAACAAAAACATGCCATACAAACCTGAACCAGAATTTTAAAATGTTTCTTTCGGAAAACCGAAAGAATCTTGTGACATCTTTTTTCAATACATCAAAGCAAAACCATGCAATATATCTTTTTTTAAAAATAAAAAAAAATCATTATCTTACTTTGCCTTCTTTAGATTGTCTGATTCCGGTTCTTTCACTGCAACAAAATAAACCATTCATTTAGTTTCCATGAAATTGCCATTTCTTCTCACTGATCCATGAAACTTTTATCCTTAATTTATGACAAGACTAATATCTAAGCATCCTATTGTTACAAATGCCTTATGATAGTCTAAAACAGAAGTGGTATTCAGCAGGTTCTGACCAGTTCTGGAGAACCGGTAGCGGAAATTTTCAGTAGTTCGGAGAACCGGCAAATACCACCTCTGAATGGCCCTGCCCCCATCTATTCTCTGCCTCCTGAGTCCCAATTGATCAGCTGGGTTTTCTTTGGTTACCCTACACAGGAGAACAGAGCTGGAAAGCAGGTTAGTGGGGTGGGGAGGGAATGGGATTTTGCAGTAACCTTCCCCCAGGAGTGGGGTGGGAATGGGGATTTTGCAGTAACCTTCCCCCTGCCACACCCACGAAGCCGCGCCCACAGAACCGGTAGTAAAAAAAATTTGAATCCCACCACTGGTCTAAAACAGTGATGGTGAACCTATGACACATGCCATGTCATTTTTGATGGCACATTGACAGGTCATGTGAGAATGTGGTGTACTGTCATGTGGTCCCTAAAGCCTCTGGAAGTCGCACAAGAGGGCCTTCTTCTCATGTGGCCTCTGGAACCGTCAAAAAGCATGCAAGAATGGGGTGAGTTTTCCCACTCTTTTCGGAAACACAGACCATTCTCCGAAGTTTCCAAAAGCCTTATGTGACCGGAAGCAAAAAAAATTCTGAGACACAAACTGAAACATGTTTACAATTAATGTATTTATTTATTTTATGTGCCACCCATCTGACTATCCAAAGCAAATATTTGTTATTGTTTCTCTTTTGTCTGTGTGTATGTGACATACCAGCAGAGTCAAGTTGGGCATTTTCCGAATTTTTGATATGCTGATAACATAAGAACCATCATTGCTGTAAAACAGGGCTGTTATTTTAAATTTACTGGGTGTCTGTTTATTTTAAAGAACAGATTGTGCCTCAGTGTTGAGTTGATTTGGGATTGAGTGTGGCAATTTTCCAGGCCTGTGATTGTACAAGTGAGCGACCAGAAGCTGAACCTGAGAGCATGCTTGTGTAACACTACTTAGTAGGGTAATGAACATCTGCAGGTAAACAACCAAATTAAAAGAGCACCAAGGACTTGCATCAGGGGTGTCAAACTCAAGGCCCGGGGGCCAAATCCGGTCTGCAGGGATGCCCTGAAAACAGCAAAGAACTGGCCCGCGGTGCCTCTGCCAGCAAAAATGGAGCTCAGAAGGGATGCAAGAGGCCCTCTCAAGCTCCATTTTCCCTGGCAGAGAGTTGCAGGAGGCCGTCGCAGCCAAAAACGGAGGTCATGACTTCCCAAGCTCCATTTTCCACGGGCAGAGAACTGCAGGATGCTATCACAGTAGAAAACGGAGCTCGGGAGCCCGTTTTCGCTGGCAGAGCTCTCAGGCCATCACAGGAACCCCCGATACAAGTGACCTTGAGCTGGCAATACCCCCCCCCCAGCCAAGGCCCCCATGGCCCCCAAGGTCAAATACAACCGTGATGCGGCCCTCAATGAAATCAAGTTTGATACCCCTGAGTTATACAGTTCCACCCTGAGCTTTATTTTCTTCCGTTAAATACTTACTACGTTCAGTGCCTGTGATCTGTTGAAGGATACGGAAAGAACGTGACTGAGTGGTTCCAGTCCTTGGATGCCAGTCCTCAGTATCTTCAATCAGTCTCTTCTTGCTGTTGTTGCTATGAACCGGTGGATGGAAAAATTCTGTATTTCTGTACACAACGTGTTTCCGTGGTGGACTAATACAATGCATAAGAACAATAAAACCATAAGTGAAAGAAATCTTGATGACGCTGACTTTTCATTTACATTTATCAAGGCCAAGATGTTAAGGATATGTATTTAATATAAATCTCGCTGGAGTAAATTTTCATTTCTTTCAGGTTTAGATAAAAACATTGAAGTGCATGGCACCCAGGTTTCAGCTGTTCCTTTTTTTAAGAAACGTAAGCTGCAATCATAATTCATAGAATCCTTCCATTTAATTCAATAGAATTTTTTTAATAAGATAGCACATAACTGTATCTCCTTGTATTGGGCTCTAGGAAAAAGAAAATATATTACATTTTCTAGGAAAAAAATACTGTACAGACACGTTCTTGTGCTTTTTTACTCCCGTTATACCTATTCTAAAATATAGTTTACTATATTAATTTAATAGTGAATTTAAAAAATATTATGAAGTCGATCAAATGTTAAAGATGGCTAACTTGTAATGTTGATCAGTACTGAGATTATGTGACCCTAAATGTATGGACACCCTGTTTGGTAGATAAAGAATTAATATTGGGGAGTGGGTTCTTAAATACAAAACAATTGGTAAGATAAATACAAAGGAAGGAAGGAAGGAAGGAAGGAAGGAAGGAAGGAAGGAAGGAAG